CCCCCCGCCCCCTCCCTGTTTCCATATCTGGGTGGAAGGGAGCCTCTTGTGGAATCTGAGAACCAGAGAAGTCTACCCATTTCCCAGGTTCCCCCGCTTGAACTTCGAGCCTTGGCTTGACAGAAGAAAGGCCGAGAAAGTTGGACAGGGAAACAAAGAAGTCCGTTTGGTGGTCCAGCCTCCCACCTGCTGACCCCCGTGGTCTGCAGGGGGAAGTTCTTCCCGAATGTCCAGCCCCTGGGCCCGGGGCAGAGAAAGTTGTCATCTGCCCCGGGCTGGGCAGGGAGCTCATGGGGTCCCCAGAGCTCACGGAGCCCCAGACTGATGGTGCTGGGGCTGCCCTCGGGGGCCTGGTCCTCTTCTGGTGTCTGGCCGGTCACCTCCAAGCTGGCCCCTCGATGGCCCAGGGCCCGTTGGGTGGGAAAGCTCCGCTGTCAGAAGGCGCCCAGGACGCCTCTGGGGGGACAGAGAGAAGAGGAGGAGGGCGGGCAGGCCGCTGGTGGCCGGGGCAGGGGGACCCGCCTCACGCACGCTCTGGCCGTGGTCCCCATGCTTCTGGGCTCCGCTCTGGACACTTTGCCGTGCAGCACAGGGCCTGGCTCCGCGTGTGGCTGTTCAGCCTCCAGCACCCCCAGCCCGTCACCCCATGGCACCCCGCGCCCCTCCCGTGCCCTGGATCTCTCCGCCCCCCTGAGCTTGCCTCACGGTCTGCCTCCTGTTTTCCCACACCCCTGCTTGGCGACGTTAGAAGTGTGCCTGCTTTCCCGCTTCCAAGCTCCTCCTCGGACATCCAGAAGGCTCCAGTGGCAAGACGTCTCCTAAAACACAGCCGGGACCCACAGGTGGTGGCGGGTGGGGTCTCCATGCGGCAAAGGCCCTGGGGGACGTCAGCAGGCCAGCAGGGAGCTCCGCCTCCGGAGAGCGGAGAACCTCAGAGGACAGGGGGCCCTGGCGTCAGGAGCCACCACACACATCCGCCCCTTTGTTAACCGAGCACCTGCTACGAGCCGGCCCCACAAAGATGCCCTGTGACCTGGGAGCGGTCCCCGCTCTGTGGGGGTCTCAGCTGCCGGTCAGGGAAGAGCATTCTGGCCCGACATGAGAAGCCTCAACGAAGTCCCAAGGGCTTCCTGGAGGAGGTGGCCCTAGAAGATCGGCTGGGGGTGCTGAGCATGTCCAGATGGGTGCAAAAGAAGGGTTCCACAAAGTGGGGAACAGGACCTGAGACAGGGGCTCAAAATACTTGTAGTGACTCCAGGGAGCCCAGACGCAGTTTGAACCATAGGAGGGACCCAGCCGGGAGGCAGCAACCCCGCTGGGTAATTTGTGGGGCTCAGTGCAAAATGGGGGGGCCTTTGTTCAAAAAGCAGGACAGAGCTTCTTTCCTCCCCGATTCTCCGGACGGACCGTGTTATTTTCTATGCGAGGGTTAACGCCGTGTTCCTTTGGGCACGAGGGTACTCCCGGGATCCCGCCCAGCGTGGAGGGCAGAGGCAGTTGCGGTGGCTGGGTCAGGGCTGGCAGGGGTCGGGTGCTCAAGAACCGGGGAGGCGGAGGGAGGTGGACCGTGCCTGAGCCAAGGCTCCAAGCCCCAGTGTGTGCCTCCCTCGTCCCTTAGGATGTCACTTCCAGAATACGGATCCAAGCGTAACATTATTAAGACTTTCAGTACAGTGACGGCCGCAAGCGTGGGTCCCTTCTGAGCACAGCGGCCCCGAGGCTCCTCGGGAGGGCGCTCTGGGTTCCTGCCCCGAGAGCCTCGCTGGGACCCTGTGAAGTGAGTCCCCAGGGCACCTATGGCCTGTGGCCCAGGAGGCCCACCCTCACCAGCTCCCCCCGGGGCCAACAGCTCTCCACACTCGGAGCACAGTCCTGCCTGTGCTTTAGTCTTCACCCCAAATTCCTAGGGTCTTGGGGGGCCTCCCAGAAGCCTTCCCTGGCTCCTGAGTTCTCTCCTGACGTTCCCAGGCCACCAGCAGAAAAAGCAGCAGGTGCAGCTCCCTGCGGGTCTGGAGTTTGGGGGCTCACCGGTGTCCCTCGGGGGAGAACCTTGGCGGGTTCCTCCAGGTGGAGGCTGGGGTGGGGCGGAAGCGTGGCAGGCACCTGGGAGGGTCACACACCTGCAGGAGGTCACAAAGCCAGGGGGATGGCAGGCCTGTCTCCCGGGCACTGCCCCGCCGGGCTCAGAGAAGGCGCTGGGGGTGTTTGTGTCGGTTGGCCGTGGGGTCCCTCCCAAGGGAAACCATTAGTCACCCTGGCGCTGGCTGGCTGTGGAGCCAGAAACGCTGGGAGTTTCGGGACCGTGCCAGGGGGTGCCGGGCCCTGGCGCTTGGCTGGAGAGGAGGGGATGGCGGCTGTGTCTGTGAGGGCCGGGGGGG